AAACAATAAGGAGGCACCACTTTATACCTCTGAAGTTATCAACATTTTAAAACAATGTTAGTATTCATTGCTGGAAAGAATATGAAACTAGAACATGTACAATGTTGACAGCAATGTAAATTGCTACTGTCTTGAGAGAAAACAGTTCAGAAGTCCTTATAAAAATTTGCAAGTTTTTACACTCTTACCTTGAATCTGACTTTTAGAAATATGCTCTGAGAAAAGAATGTACCCACCAAAGAAAAAATTGATATGCCTGAAGGTGGGGTCTCTAAAAGCTTCGACAGAGCCATTCCCCTGCTCAAAGCCTGCTCTAGACCCGGGCACTTCCTATAACCCCGAGCGCCTCCCAGGCACTGCCTGCCTCCCCATCTCACCTCTCACCTCCTCACCTTCTTGCCAACTGGCCTCCAGGCACACTGGCTTCTACCAGGCCCAGAATATGCAAGTGAGGCAACCCTTGGGGCCATGGCCCCTGCCCAGGAGGCTCTCCCCATGGCTGCTCCCCAAAAACCTCTCAGGTCTTTGTTTAAACCCCACCTTTCCAGACCACTCCCAAATAGCCTGCATCCCTCCCTGTCTCCCTCCCGTCACAGTCCCTGCTGAGCCTCCCACAGCACTCATCACACTGCGTAATTTATTTCACTACTCATATGTTTGCTGATTGTCAAGTCTCCTGAGCCAGCAGGTACCATTCTTTGAGGACAGGAATTGTGTCTTTCTGGCCCTCCAATGAGTGCTTCCCTGTGTCTAGCACAGTGCCTGGTACATGGTAAGTGCTCAGAAATTAGTTGACTGACTGATTGAACAAATAAATGAACAAACAAACATATGCGAAACTAAAATGAACCTAGAGACTCAAATGGCAGGCAATGGTGAAATGTATTCTGGTATATAAAATTAAAGACTCTAACAACTGATCAAGACGCCACCAAACCAGCCCTTTTGAAAAGGCTGTTTGTATAGAATGTCCTCCTCCAACTGTCCTATTTACCTCCCAACAGTCCACCTCGGTTCTGTTTACTCTCTGGAGACTTTCTAACTTCCCAGCAGCAAGAACGCACTAAGGTACAATTTCTGGCAACACAATGGATCTCCCCCTAGCTTCCTGGTCTAATCACAGAAATACATCAACAAATACATCAACAACCACTAGAATCAATCTATGAACAAAATTATTCTGAACATACAGCTAAAGCCGAAACCAAGACAGGGAGGCCCGCAGGTGTCAGAAGCGTGAAGCCGTGGAAGCAGCCCCAAAGCACTGGGAACATGAGGCATCGTCACAGGGGCTTTAGCGGACCGGACAGAGCAGCGTGTCCTGCCAGTGTTCCTGGGGTTCCACCCAGGCTCTGGGGCTGAGGGTCAGTGCCCACCTGTGGCTGGGAGGCCTGGGATTATGCAGGGCTAGGGTAGACTTGGCACAGTTGAAAGGGTCCGTGAACCAAAGTAGATTCCTGTGAAAACAGAATATAGCCCAGAGGGATAAAGACGTGGAAAACAGAAAGAGATGTGGAAAATGAAACGAGGAGGTTCAACAACATGTATTTAACAGAAGTTCCAGAAGAAAAGACAAGTGAGAATGGGGTGGAGACAATATTCAAATAAGAATGGCTGAGAATGTTCTAAAATCCATGAAAGATGGTATCTTCAGAGTGACACGGTATATGCCTGGGAAGGTTAAATAAACACATCTATATCAAGACACGTTGTAGGGAAACAAAGTATTGGCAATCCGACAGCAGACTCTCAACAGCAGCAGTAGAGGCCAGAGGACCATGAAGAATGTTGTTGAAGTGTTAATAACTCAAATAAGAATTCTACTCCCTGCTAAATCTTCATGAAAGGGTAAGGGGAAAATAGACATTTTTTAACCCAAAGACTGAACTTAATTAACCACTTACAGGACCTCACTAAACAGACCGCAGAAGGATATGCTTCAGGCAACTGATTCCAGAAGGAAGGGGTGCAATTTAAGAAGCAGTGATGAACAGACTAGTAATCACAGGAAAACCGAAAAAGCATAGACAGTATTAAAAAAAACAAAACAAAACAGTAATAATGACTAATTCAGGAATTATCAAAACAGGGCCGCATCACAACACTAGCGAACAGTAACAATGAAAGGGGAAGGTGCTTACTTTATCCAGGACCGTAGAAATATTAACGTTAGGCTTTATAAATTCAGAACACTCTTAAAATTAAGGGTAATCTCTATACAAATAGAAATAAGATATTTACATCTCAAGACAGTGGAGGGAAAAAAGAGTGACAAAGGAAACCTGCACAGAGCCACACATGACGGAGCCTAACTGGAGAGGAAAAGGGGAGCAGAGGGCATCAGAGAACCCAAGGTGAAGTGTGGGGGGAATCCAAACACATCCACCACAATAAATGGAGAGAGGCGAAACTTGACCATTAAGAAGGCAAATATGCTCATTTTTTAAATACAAATATATACTACTTTACAAGAAACACATCTAAAATGCGATAATAAAGGAGTGAAGGTTAAAGGATGGGAAAAGAGCTGACAAATGCTCAGAAATCAAAAGAAAACTGTTCTGGGTATTTTGATATCACACAAGCTAGACCACAAAAGCCAGATGGATGAAAGGGTAACTATATAATTATAAAGGGACCAGTTTCCCAGGAGGATCTGTGCACCAGGAGACATACCTGATCTGTCATTTGTAAGCCTGGCACTTGGACGTCACCGTACTATTGTCTCTCGTGCCCTGGTCCACCAGGAATCCTGGGTGGAAGCAACAGCGGGCAGCACTCAGGAATCTGTGGATTCCCGGCTGCGACAGGTCGTGATAACAGCACAGCTCTGCTGCCCTCAGCCTCCTAGCACTCTCTCTGAGGCCATCATCATTGTCATCACTGTCACCTCCCTGGCAAGTCAGCCACCCTGGCTTGGGGCGAGTTGTTACTTATTTCTGCATTGTCAGCACCTCCACAATGTCTGGCAGAGAAAGGCACTTGACATGCACCCATTAATTTTGAATATCATGATTTTGAACACGATGAAGCTAATAGGAAGAATGTCTATAATATGCACTTCTATTTAAAAAGCACCATATAAAACTATAGATGTACGTTGATTACAAATATGAAAAGGTCATATATGTATGTGGATTCAAAGTGGAAGGGAATGAGGAAAAACGAAAACAGTAAATTTGTTACATAAGGTGGATGGTGACTTTCTGGTTTTTACTTCTATTATTGTTATTAAATTATTATTTGTATAATTTTGAAAGTGAAATAAAAAGAAATGGCTATATAACTTTTAGCTATCCAAGAAAGTAATTCCTAAAAATGTCACCACATATAGGCAGGGCAACAGAGCTGTTTCTGCGTCATGGACATGTTTACTCCTTGGGCTAAATTTTGCCTTTCACCCTGGAAGCATGGTGGTCGGGCACAGTGGCTCTCCTTGGCCACGCCGAGAGGCAAGCAGGGGGCTGTCGGCAGTGACCGCAGCTGGTCTAGGAATACTATCTTTTTCCCTCCTTCTCTCGTGTCTCTCCTTTCTAGGTAACCCCGAAGTGTCCACCAAGTATCCAGAGTTTCACAGGACAATCTTTCTATCAACCTCTGCCCTACATCCCCTGAGTTGCCCGGACAGAACACCAGACCAATTAAAGACAGTGTTCCCTACTCAGAGCTTGGTCTACAGAGACCATTTCTGACTGATGGGCAACAGGGATCCTTGGAGAGACGGCTGATTCTGGCTTGGGGCAAGAGGTGCGTCAGGAGAGCCTGGGGCAGCGCGTCACCCCAGAATGCCAGAGAGCCATGAGATGATCAGGGTCACACCAGCAGGACCAGGAGCTGACACGAAAAGCCTCCCGCTGGCTGACATGGGACGAAGTGAGTACCCGTGGGGATAACAACTGCCTGAATTGAAACACATCAAATACACTTTCAGGAGTTCTTGAGGGGTTCAAAGTTTTTAAAAGAAAAATCACTCATTGCTCACTTTTAGGAGGGTGCTAGGGAACCAATTCATTATCTTGAAAAGTAGTGAGCAGGGGGGAAGACCTAAGGACAGCCTGCCTTTCTGACACTAATTCTTCTGCTGTTGCCAAGTAATCACAGAGGGGAAGCCTTCCTGACAGAAGCACTCCAACCAATTAAAGAAGAAATGAGAGATGTCGAATATCACCACTTTACAATCCTAAGTGAACTAATGGATACAGGTATGATCGACAATGGCTGATAACATCACAGCAAGGCAGACAACCAGTCTAATGATGGTTGCCACCACCAATGAAGTATTTTTGCCAGAAAAATTGAACATGGGTCTGTGCATCTATCAGTTGAGGAGCAGGACGCTGTGGTAGGGAGACAGGAGAACATGTTGAATGTCCCCATGGGTTGCAATCAGTCAAATTTAGATTGTAAAAAACTGCACATAACAAACAATTCAGACTTCTACAGATAATCATAAGGGGAAAAAATTAACAAATGGAGAGACCCTGTAGATTAAAAAAAAAGATGGCAAAATCAATCAACTGCAAAGCACATACCTTATTTGGATCCTGACTCAAATAAATCATAAAAGAAAATATCAGACCAGTTAAAATATGAGATCAGCTAAATTTGATCTCTGGCTGGATATTTATTAATATTATTGATAATTCTATTAGATGTGAAAATGGCATTTTTACCACATTTTTTATTTTTATTTTTTATCTTTTAGAGAGACATAGAGATCTCTTCAATGAACTTTGATGTCTGGTATTTATTTCAAAAATATCCAGGGTTGAGAAAAAATAGGCAGGAATAGAAATGAAATGATTGCCTCTGAATTGAACATCGGAACTAGGTAGTGGGCACATTAGTAGGTTCATAATAATATCCTCTTTAATTTTGTATGTGTTTGAAATTTTCAATAAAAAAATTCTAAAATATTAATAAAACATAAATGAAGTTGTTCCTTATTCTCACAGTTGACGTTTGGGAAAAAAGTACCAAGGAAACAATGGGACTTTTACCTTTCCATTAGCCGGATAAAAATTCTTCTTGGTAATCGGTATACAAAGGTGTCGAGGACAAACTTCAGGTAATTCAAAGAAATGTACCCACTTTTGGAGGGGTCTCCTGCACTCAGGGCTTTCCCGACCTTTTCATAGGACTTCAAAAGCTGCAATGAATTAAAATTAGTGTTGCATTCATAGAAATCAACTTCACGGAGCTACTGAACCATTTTATTTTTACCAAAACCTCGTCACATTGTCCCCTCCAAAAACTGATCAAAAAGGTTCCCATGGCATGTGCTGAACTTCAAATGTTTAAATGATGAGCACACTACAAACAGTATCCCCAGTCACAGCTACTCAAGTGACAAGGTAGACAACTCTGTCAGAGAAACACAGCGCACGGGATGGCTCTACCTCACATTTCAGGGCTAAAAATACTCAGTGGATCTGCCAGGTTGATGCATCTTTCTCAATATGCCTTCAAGCCATTCCTACTGTGAGCCCATACTAAGTTTCTCCTGATTAAGTCAGGTCAATCAAACAAAAAAGCTGGCAACATTTTGTTAAAAATAGAAGTAGCTTTTAGAGCAAGGGAAAGTATTAATATAAGGTTAGCATAAACCTAATAACTCTGGACATTCCTTTAATTATTCTTCTGTTTTTTTAAATGGGGAACTACAAAGAACCAGGGTGAATGAGCTTTTTGCTTAAGGGACTTCTCAAATCCAGTGAAGCACGTTAACAACTGAGTTTTATATGACTCATAAAAATCCTATGAAGATTGGTTTTATGTTCAAAGGTTTTCCTGCTGTTTATTATTGTGCAATAACAATATTCTCCAGTATTTCCAACCTCTCCACTTTGTCTGAATTCAGTTTCTCCTGCTCACTGTAATGAGAAGAGAAACAAAATAACCACCAACTTGGTAGAAAAGACGACTTTTAAGAAGCTGCTGGGACATGGAAATATATCCACTAAAGGAATAAGAAGCGGATTCATTAAAATTTTCTTAGGGTGCACAGAATATTGGGGATCTACGGAGAAAGTCTTTAAAAATATTTAGAGAGTTACAAGGCCTAAGCCTCTTAGAAAGTTGCATAAAGGTATCCCAAAATGTGGTTAAATTTGCCCATGTCTCTTTCAGGGAGGTGGGTTGCTTGGGAGAAGACTTGCAGATGGAAGTCGGAGCCAGACGTGGAACCTATTTGTTGTATTAATGAAATTCACCTTTAATATATCTTCATGACATTTGGTATCCAATAAGGTTTTCTCCAAGAGACTATTTCTGACATAATCAAGAGCTCTTTTAGGAAAAAAGTTGGGAGTGAAACAGAAATAGTGTCTTTGCGACATGTATAACCTTTTAGGAATTTTCACCATTAGTGATTATAATGAAACAAAAGAGAAAAATGAAAAGCAATTCAGCAAAGTATAAAGAGCAACATAAAGATACTGGAAGCCTCACTATCCAGTTTTTTATATATAGTATTTCAAAAACTCCCATTATGATCACATAAACATACAACTCTACAAAATGGTATCATGCTGTACTCAGGTTTGACAAATGGCTTTTTCACTTAACAATATGTCATTAAAATTCTTTGCATAAGAACCAGTACATATCTACATCATACTTTTAAATTATGCATAGCATGACAGCTATTATTAATGGGCAAGTGAAAGGTACACTAATTTTCTATGCGTTATACATTTAATTTTTATAAATGTTTTCCTGATCCCCAATCTAAATGAGGTCCCTCCGCTATTCTCTATCATAATACCCTGTCCTTTTCTCATACCACTTGAGAAAAACTGTACTTACATGTTTAAATCTGTTTCACCTCCCTCGCCCTGCATAATTAGGTCATGCAATTCCCATGACAGCAGAGACTGTGTCTGTTTTGTTTCCTTATAATTACCTAAAGTGAGGCATAAATTGCCATGCTGTAGGCACTCAATAAATATTTACTGAAAATTGATGTTTTACCAAAAATGTTCTAAAGTAAGGTTGAAGGTTGTAAAATGTAAAAAGCTAATTGTTACTTAAGTAAAAAAGTAAATGAAAATTCAAATCATAGGTGAGATGCCGTTTCATCTGCATCAAATTGGTAAAAATTTAGAAGTCTAGCAATATAAAGTGCTGGTGAGTAGGTAGAACAACAGGAATTCTTATATGCTTCTGGTGGGAGTATAAATAGATTTTTGAAAAAAGATTTTGATACTGCCAGTTAAAGCTGAGGAGCATGCTCCCTACCGTCTAGCAAGTAATTCCATGCCTAGGCGTAACTCCTAGAGAAATCTTTGCACATGTGTACCAGAAGATATGTATGCAGTCACTTAGAGTGGCATCACTTGGGTTAGCAGAAAACAGGAAGCAATTCCAATGCCAATCCATGGGAGAATGTATGATCTGTGTATATTAGATCATGGAAAACTGTGTAGCAGTGAAAATGATACTACAGCTATATTCATAACATGGATGAATCTCATCTTAAGCACACACAGGATGAAAATAAATGGTTTTGCAACTATATAGACATACTACGGGAAGGAAGGAAGGAACGGAAGAAGGGAGGGAGGAGGCAGGAAGGCAGGAAGGAAGATTATGCAAAAGAGAAAGAACCCACGCAGTAAGGAAACATAAAAAAACATAAACACAGAACTAAAGTAAGAACATGAATTCAATAAAAGAAAAGCCTGAAGTCAAAATAAAACAATGAAAGAGATAAGGGATATTTTAAAACAAAGAAAATAGAAAACAAAAGTAACATCATTATAGGAACTAATAAATCAGAAACAGCAAGAATAAGAGAAAAAGGCTGAAATTAAAATTAATAGTTAAGGAATGGTGTGAAAGGACATGAATGAAGGCAGAGGGAAAGAAAAGGATTAAAGTAATCGGAGAGAAAATAATCGCTATCAAGGATAGACGAGGACGATCCAGTGTAAGGATAACTGGGAATGCTGCCACCGAATGAAGGAAAGATGGAAGGGAGACAGGAGGAAAGGTTGGAGGGAGGGAGATTTTAGTGGTAGGACACAGGAAAATTTTCCTGAAAAGAAGGAAGAACCGAGTCTGTACATCAAAAGAATATACTACGTTCCAGGCCTTGACAAAGTGCTGCCTGCCAGTACTGCTTACTGTTGCCTTCTTATTTCAAGGATCAAGAGAAAAACACCTTAGGCATCCCAGCGGACAAAGGAAACCACCTACTAGGGGAGAAACATCAGTTGATCTCAGGCTTCTTCTCAGGAATACCCAATGACAACAGATAATGGAAAAATACAGCATTTTGAGGAAAGCTAAGTATGATGGAAGGATTGCATCCAGCCAAGTTGTTGTTCTAGTAGAAAAGCAAGAGCAGACAGTCTCAAACATGAAAAAACAAAGGGAATAAAGTACCTATGAGCCTTTCTTAAGTAAAGTATAGGTATTCCTCATTTTATTGCACTTCACTTTATTGCGTTTGCAGATGTTACATTTTTTACAAATTAATGGTTTGTGGCAACCCTGTACTGAACAAGTTTGTCAACACCATTTTCCAACAGCATTTGCTCACTTCATGTCTCTGTGTCATATTTTGGATCTTTGATGTTACTATTGTAATTGTTTTGGAGCGCCACAACCCACACCGATCTAAGACAGGGAACTTAATCAATAAATATGTGTGTGTTCTGACTGCTCAACCAACCAGCTGTTTCCACATCTCTCCCCCTCTGCCTGGGCTTCCCTATTCCCTGAGTCTCAACAATATTGAAATTAGGCCAGTTAATGGCCCTAGAATGGCCTTTAAGTGTTCAAGTGAAAGAGTCACACGTGTTTCTCACTTTAAATCAAAAGCTAGAAATGATTAAGTGAGGAAGACATCTCGAAAGCCAAGACAGGCCAAAAGCTGGACTTCTTGCCCCAGTTAGCCAAGGGAATGCAAAGGGAAAGTTCTTGAAGGAAATTAAAAGTGCTATTCCAATGATAAGAAAGCAAAACAGCTTTATTACTGATACGGAGAAAGTCTGAGTGATCTGATAGGAGATCAAACCAGCTACAACATTCCCTTAAACCAAAAAAGCCTAATCCACAGCAAGGCCCTAACTCTTCAATTCTATGAAGGCCAAAGAAATTGGAAGCTAGCAGAGGCTGGTTCATGACGTTTAAGGACAAGAAGGTGTCTCCGTGACATAAAAGTGCAGGTAAAGCAACAAGTGCTGAACATCTAACTAAGATCATTAATGAAACACTGACCAACAGATATTCAATGTAGATGAAACAGTCTAATATAGAAGATGCCATCTAAGACTTTCATAGGTAGAGAGGAAAAGTCAAGGCCTGGCTTCAGTGCTTCAAAGGACAGGCTGACGCTCTTGCTGGGGACTAATGCAGTTGGTGACCTTAAGTGGAAGCCAGTGCTTATTGATCATTCTGAAAATCCTGGAGCTCTTAAGAATTATGCTAAATCTAATCTGCCTGTGCTCTAGAAATGGAACGACAAAGCCTGAATGATAGCACATCTGTTTACAATATGGTTTACTAACTATTTTAAGGTCACTGTTGAGACCTATTTGTCAAAAAATAAGATTCCTTTCAAAACATTACTACTCACTGGCAACTTACCTGGTCATCCAAGAGCTCGGACAGAGATATACAAGATTAATGTTGTTTTCCTACCTGATAACACAACATCTATTCTGCAGCCCATGGATCGAGCAGTAATTTAGATTTTCAATCCTCAATATTTAAGAAATACATTTCATAAGGCGATAGCTGCCATAGACAGTGATTCCTCTGATGGATCTGGGCAAAGTAAATCGAGAACTTCTTGGAAAAAATTCACCACTCCAGATGCTGTTAAGAACATTTGTGATTCAAGCAAAGAGATCAAAATACCAACATTAACAGGTTTTTGGAAGAAGTTGATTCTAATCCTCATGGATGACTTTGAGGGTTTAAGACTTCAGTTAAAGAAGGAACTGCAGATGTGGTAGAAATAGTGAGAACTAGAATTAGAAGTGGAGCCTGAAGATGTGACTGAATTGCTGCCTCTCATGGTAAAACTTTAATGGATGACAAGTTACTTCTTATGGATGAGCAAAGAAAAGTGGTTTCTTGAGATGGAAACTACTCCTACTGAAGATGTGGCGAAGATTGCTGAAATGACAACAGAGGGTT